AGGAGCCCAAAAGGTGTGGGAGAGCAGTGGAGACAGACTCCCGGGGTCATGAAACATGACCCTGGAAGTCAGTCCTCACAGGCCCAATACCTTATTACACCCAGGTCTTTCAGGAACAAACCTTGGTTTGTTCCTGAATTAATTCATTTTTACCAGAGGTGTCATTTGGAAAATACTGAGACTGGTCCTGCATTTTGGGGCTGTCTGGATGGGCCCTCACTATGCATGAGAATATATCTTCTGCTAACTAGGGTGCACCAATAGTAATCTACCGATATGCAAATATTAATACAAACCTTTTTTTTTTTTTAAAAAAAGATTAAATCCAGGAAAGAACTATTTTATTGAGGGAATGCTTATTTCTCACCAACCAGTTCTGCCTACCAATAAGCCCTCCCCTCAATGGAAGGGGCCATCCACACATCTAAAAGTCCGGATTTTCTATAAAAACTCATGGTAAAAGCCAGGCTTTTTTTTTTTAAATTAAAGCCCAAACAAATAAATTGAAAATGAACCATCATGAACGTTGAATCATGACAGAGCACCTACGAGATGAGTACAATATTTTTTTTAATCCATTTCCATTTAGGAAATTTAAAAAAAACCTACAGATCCTATAGACAACTAGAACAGAGGATTTCCAAATACAATGGTTTGTTCACAGACAAAACACTGAGGGCCCTTCCAGACAGAGCCGAATCCCAGGAGGAACTGGGTTATTCAATCCTAGTTCCTCCTGGGATTTAGGCCTCACACCTCTCCCAAACCCCAGGCTTTCCAGCCACCCTCTGCTCAAAGCTCCTAATGCGTCAAAATGAGCCCACAGAACCAGAAGCCTAAAGAACCAGTTTCACTATGGGGATTGATTCCTGGGATCACAGAAGAAGGTCCGGGAGTCAATCCCTACAGGGTCCTCACCTGTAGTGATCTCACATTAAGGTCTGGATCTTTCCAAGTGTCTAATCCAGAGTAAACTGGAAAACGCCAATTTACTCTGAATCATTTCAGACTGTTTGGTTGCTCTTGACATAATAAATATAAAAAATATAAATAAATAAATTCAGGTTTACCTGAGGCATTATTTGTATGCCTCAGGCAAACCCGAGACAGGTTCCACGTTTTGGGCCTGTCTGGAAGGGCGCTTGCCCTTCTCTTTTTCTTTCTTTTCTCCCTTCATTCACCCTGGGAAGCCCGCTTCACATAATATATCTTCATATCAAGTAAGGGGGGAAAGATCCTTTCTTTTGTATTCCCCCATTGTCACCAATTCAGGCCAGTACTTTTACCAGTTCTCTTCTGAAATTTTGCTGGGACTCCTCCGGGTTTCACTTTAAATCTTATTCAATGTTTTGCGAAACAGTCTTCATATGCATCTCTACATTAACTGAGTTTATTTATAGATGTCTTGCACAAAAGCTTGTTGGTTACATTTGTATATTAGCGTCTTAGTTGAATATAACATTGTTTCATGACAACTCTCTTCCTTATGACTTTTTACACATATAAAGATTCACTTGTTAACCATATAATAGCAAACTCTCAACTGTTCTCCACTCACTATCTTGACTATTTCTTTAAATACTCTTACTTTACTTATTTCCTGACCTATATTCACGGACCCCTAACTTATCCTCATCTCACGGCTTTTCTTCCCTCTCTCTAACTGACTTCTTTTCTCTCTCCGAATGTTCAGGTTTTTTTTTCCAACTGTCATCCTTAACTCCCTCCTTTCTAAAATTCTGGCATCTACTCATTTAAATATGACCAATCAGATTCCCTTATGTAAATTAACTCAGCCCCGACTGCTACTACCCCTTTAAGAATCATAGAATGGCTGGTCTTATTCCAACCCTGCAATATAGGCCATGTTCTAACATTAACTTTTACTCTTAAATTCTACCTCATAACCAGTAGTTCACTACACACCCCTTATCTTTTCCTTCCTTTCTTTTGATCCCCTTCAATCTGCCTTTCTCCCTTCTCCTCAAACACATATCACCCAGAAGAACTTCATTCCCTTTCTTTCCCATTGACATTACAAAGGGACACTTCACCCAGCTACAGGCAATCTACTATATTTATTTTCCTGTACTCTAGGTCTGAAAAGGGTGGGCTTTTTTAGTTCAAACCCCTTAATTATTTTAAGTTGGATAATGAAAGACATGAGTGTCAAGTTCGACCCAGATCCATCAAACCAACAAACCAACCTACAAACATAGGCACATACTTTAACCTTTATCTATATAGATGAATTGTTCCCAATTTTCTTTACTTTCCCTATCTCTATTTCTGAATATATACATATATATATACACACACACATACATACATACACACACACACACACACACACACACACACACACACATATATACATCCCAACTTGACTGGGGAATCCTGGCAGTTGTAATCTAAGAAGTCACCTTTCCAAGCTCTGGGAAAAGGGATTTCAGATGAATGCTTGTAAAGGTTCACACTTGTTTCTGTAAAACAAGCATGAGTCTTATGGAACCTTAAAAACAACCAGTTTTATTTGGCATAAGTTTCAGTAGACTACATCCTACTTTATAAACTGCATAGAATGCTGTATCTGTGAAATATCAACCACCTAAAATGAGACACTATTCATTTGAGGAAATCCCATTTTTCTAAATAAATTATGCTAAATAACCCGCCACAACTGACTTCTTTGGCTAAACTGAAATAGAACAATTTAAAATGGCCGCAGATAGTGAGAGCTGAATTTCGGGTACCGGAACCTGAGGCACAGATACCGAGTCTGATAAGCCGTCCTTGTGAGTCCGTGCACCTGGCAAGTGGAAAGAATCCTGATGTTTCAAAGTACTGTAGCTCCCCAAGTTGAAGAGGAAGCCACCGAGGTAGTTTATTCAATCACCTGAAAGTGATGCCAGCCTGCGGTAATCCGCCAAAGTAAGCTGAGATACTTTGCAGTCAAAACCAGGTATTTTTCTACAGTACTTCAAAATTCCTGCTCCTGCCCAGCAGGACCTGGCTTGGCTATGATTGGCCAAGTTCCAATGACATCATGGAGGATTCCCTGCAGAGGAGGGATGGCAGGGCTCACCGACCAATGAGAGAACATTCCTTGCCTCCAGTGTAATGTCCTTCTGTCCAATGGCTGAAGAGAGCCAGATGGAAACTCCAAACATAGCTTTATGAATGGTTACAATGTCCCCCAATCGGGACAAAGAAAGGGGATTAAGAAAACCCTGAGATTTTATTGTGCTGATAATTGTTCTATGAGCCCCTACCTCTCATGGGCTGATGATTCTACACCAGTGTCTATTGTATTTCCAACAGTATATATTGTACAACATAATAGGATTATGCATCGGTTCCTCGGAAAGGGGAAATATCATTGTGGAAAATGGGGCATGATCCTCTCCCCATTGTGAACTGCCATACCAGGTAATGAGTGTCTTTTGAAATATCCATGTGGTTGCACAATAAACAGGTGGTCCCACTCCAAATCCTGTTGTCTTTGCACAGCTGGTGGTATGGGTCACAGATGATGAGTGATTGAGTCCATTGTTTTAGGCTATGACCAGGAAAATGGCTGAAAGGGGTTCCCAGGTCTTAGGAATGCTGACGAAAGATCACCAAGATCATACTGAGTGGCTTCAGTCTCCAAAGTTTGATGTAAGATGTAAAATATAGAAAGATTAAACATAAAAACATCAGGGTCCTGTGGAAGCCCAGTACTCGTGGGGTGAGGGTCACACAAATGCAGGGGCGCATGTATACCAAGGGGGACCTGTCGTGGAGACCCTGGGTACCCATGAGGGAGAAGTTAGAAAATGCATACGCAAAAGGGGCCGTGGATAGCAAGGGAATCCACTAAGTGGATAAATTGAAACCCATGGGAAAGGGAAACAAACAGGAGAAATCAGCGGACACCGGGAGAAACTCAGTGGGTTTCGGTATCCACTGGAGTTAGCGTGGACACAGATTATGGGACATGTAAGGGGTTGGAAGCAAGGGAATTGTAGAGAGGAGAGTACATAGGCAAGAAGGAAAGGTTAGAAGTTGGCAGATATTGTGGTTCCTGGGAGAACCGAGGCACCTATGGAGGTGGGAGGTTGGTGAGGGGATTCAAGGGTCAGAGAGGAAGCAAAGGGCAATTGCCCATGGATATCGAGAGAGAAGTGACTAATCTTGGTATTTGTGGGGAAGGTAAATGCAGATTCTGGGTTAGAGGGGCAAAGGTTGGGTTATCTGAGGACAAGCACTAGAAGAGTGAATGGCAAGGGGAAAATTAGAGAAAATCATGGTTCTGCTGCACATCGAGGGCCCTGAGGTGGCTGGAGGGTGGCAAAGGAGTTTGGGGAGGTTGATGGCGTGTTAGTGTGGTGAAGGGGCTCAGATTGGTCCCGCTGCGAGGGCTGCCATGTGGCACGGGCTGCTGCCGGCCTGGGAGAGGAACACAGAAGTGGAGAGAAAAGGACTCAGAAAGGCGAAAGGAGAGGCACGGAGACAAAAGTTAAAGATAACTTGGTTTATTAAGGGTTATAGACAAATATAGGGGAGGGGGCGATGAGATCCTTGGGCGCTAGTAGCTGCTGCTGGGTTCTTCCAGACCTTTGGATATTCGTGCAATTAATTATTTTAAAAATAAAAGCCATAGAAAACTTCACTATGGTGTCTCACTTTATAAATGTAATAATTTGATCAGGTGTGTGTGTGTCTGTGTTTGATATCAAAACCACTAAATTTTCTCTAAGAGCTTAGTCTGGGAGCTTCTAAGAAAGATCAGAATATACTCAAAAAGAATCCAGTGCTCACCTTTTTCTTCTCCCCTGTCCCAGTGCCCAAAGATGGGGAAAATACTACTTTTTGTTTTACTTCTGCTGCTGGAATCACCAGCCACACTGGTGAGAGATGCTGGGATATGCAGTCCAAAAACCAAAGAAAAAGAAAAAAGAAAAAAAATGGAACTTTCCCAAGCTCTGCCAAGATGCAAAAATTACTAATAGCAAGCCCTCACTTGCCAGGCCACACAGGAATGCTGGTGATTCTAGGGCTAACCCTGGCAGAAAATTAACCCAGGGACAGAGAATACTTCTCCTCCTTTTTGTACCAAATTCATCAGGTTTTATGTGTGTATGTGTATGGTCACTGGAAGATAGCATTTTAGCAGCTGAAACTCTTTTGTTCCATGACTGCACGATTTTGCAATATCATACATCTGAAAAGACGTCCAAGTACATGCTCTGTAAAATAAGATTCAAATCAGTGAAGTATTAGTTCAGTGACATTCTGCATAATATCATAAGAGGTTCAATGAACAACAATAATGCATGAAAAATATTTAGCCTAATGTTGACTCAGTTGGAGCCAAAAACTATTTCAGATAATCATATTTCACATTTCACAGATGAAAACTGGGACATGTGTGGGCGAGCAACATCAGTGTGTGATCAAGATGGCAAATTAGTGGAAAAAATTGCACACAAGATAAGAAAGGCTGCAGCAGTTTGACTTCACCTGATTTTACAGGGAAGAGAAAGATTCCTCTCTTCTCTTCTCATGACCCCACCACCCAGTTAAATGAATGTAAATTACTTTTGCATTTTGAACTTTTTAGCAATTGAAGTAAAGCAAAAATGCAGGGGAAAGGAGACAGAAATTGGGACATTTTTTAAATAGTTGCAAAGGAGAAATAAGAAAATGTTCCTTGGGGTGTGCCCAACAAATCAGTACAGTTGGAGGGTGTGGCATGAGTATATTATGAAGATATCTATCCTTCCAGCTAATGAATGATCATCCCTTTACCCACATCACTGGAAATTAAGAAGCAGCAGCAGGTCTTTTCTCACCTGTTGCGAGGCAGCAGTACACATGGCTCAAGTGAGGTTACTTGGCTCTTTCTCAGCACAAGGAAAGGTTGCAAGTAGCCTTAGGCTACTAATGAGATCACAACACTTGTGCTCTGTCAAGACTTGCTCTTGCCTGTCAGAATTTTCTTCTTTGCTGTTGCATAAGCATCTTACCTGAAACAGACAAGACTCCTAGAATAGCAAGAAGCCAATACTGCATAATTTCATCTTCTTTATTTGAAGTCAGTAGATTACTAAATCAAGGCAAAACCTCTGGGATTATATTAGACTCTGCTACTAGAGGATGACATTAAACCAAGGAGTGGGGAAAAATGAAGGAAAGCAACAGTTTGGTTTAGTGTACTGACCACAACTAAATTGTCTAGAGAGATACAATGCAATGCAGTAGTATCATAGTAATAAAAAAACAAGACACAGAAAAGAGAGAGCTTTTGCAACATGCTGCCAAAATGTGAAAGATGGGTAGAACTGAAATAATGAGTCACATTATTGGGATAATAATGAGGCTCATTACCTTCTCTAAATTATTCTCATAGATAGCAAGGTGGTTGAGGAACCCCTGTCCCACAGGTTCTGTCTACACTGACCATATACAGGCAGTCCCTGAGTTACAAACATCCGACTTATAAATGACTCATAGTTAAGAACAGAGGTGAGACAACAGAAAGCTTACTTGTCCGAACGCATCTCCCACTACTGCAGTTTAAGATCATCTGGGGAGACCCTGCTCTCGCTCCCACCAGCGTCGCAAATACATCTGGCAGGGCCGAGATACAGGGCCTTCTGGGCTGTAGCCCCCCACCTGTGGAACTTGCATCCCAACGAGGTAAGATCGGCGTAATCCCTCCTGTCTTTTAGGAGGAAATTGAAGTTGTGGTTCTGGGACCAGGTTTTTGGACAGCAGGAATAGTGTAATCATCTTCATTAGCATTGAACAGCCTGGAGCTCCCTGTGGCACAATGGGTTAAACCCTTGTACCGGCAGGACTGGACTGACAGGTCACAGGTTCGAATCTGAGGAGAGCGGTTAGGGTCAGCTCCGGCTCCCCATGTGGGAGAAGCCTCCCATAAGGATGATAAAACAACAAAACATTCATGCATCCCCTGGGCAACGTTCTTACAGATGGCCAATTCTCTCACACCAGAAGTGACTTGCAGTTTCTCAATTCGCTCCTGATGCAAAAAACAAACAAACTGAATAGCCTTGCAGCTTCAAGGCTTGGCTGCTTCCTACCTGGAATTATTTGTTGAGAGGTGATTAGATGGTCATGATTGTTTCTTGTCTTGTATTAATTCTATCCTGTAGAACGAGGCACTCAAGGAAATACAATCCTTTCTGACGAGATCACAAAGAGCATCCCTCCTTCAAGAAAGAAAAAGAAGCAGGCTCTAATGCATCCAACTTTTTATTTATTTATATTTATTTATTTATTTTTATTTCCAGCATTTTTACCCCGTCCTTCTCAACCCCTGAAGGGGGACTCAGGACGGCTTACATTTGGCACAATTTGATGCCATTAAATATAACAAAGCAATAGAACAACATTTAAAACAATAAATAGAACATTAATTAAAACAATAACAACAGTATTAACTGCAGTATCACAATTCCAGTCAAATTCCATATCCAAAGAGCTTTTTATGCCTGCTGTCCAAAACCCTGGACCCAGAACCATGACTTCAATTTCTTCCTAAAAGACAGAAGGGATGATGCCAATCTTACCTCATTGGGAAGCGAGTTCCACAGGCGGGGGGCTACAGCCGAGAAGGCTCTGTCTCTTGTCCCTGCCAGAAGTATTTGCAACGCTAGCGGGAGCGAGAGCTGGGTCTCCCTGGATGATCTTAAACTGCAAGGTGGGACGTAGTGGGAGATGAATTCGGACAAGTAAGCTGGGACAGAACCGTATAGGGCTTTATAGGTCAAAACCAGCACTCTGAATTGAGTTCGGAAGTGGACCAGCAGCCAGTGGAGCTGACACAACAAGGGGGTGGTGCGCAGAGGCGGCCCTAGGTAATTTTCGATGGTAAGCAAACAGTATTTTGGTGCCCCCCCCCAACCAATCACTGATATATATTTTCTGTTCGTCGTGGGAGTTCTGTGTGCCATATTTGGTTCAATTCCATCATTGCTGGAGTTCAGATTGCTCTTTGATTTTAGGTGAACTATACATCCCAGTAACTACAACTCACATATGTCAAGGTCTATTTTCCGCCAAGAGCGCCCCTGGGCAAAATCAACTCTACTGCAAATGCTTACTTTGCGTAATGGGTTGAGCCGCCCCTGGTGGTGCGCACCCTATACTTTGCTCCAGTTAGTATTCTGGTTGCAGCCCCTTGGACTAGTTGAAGTTTCTGAACAGTCTTCAAAGCCAGCCCCACGTAGAGTGTGTTGCAGTAATCTATTCAGGGATGTAACAAGAGTGCAAGAGTGTGGACATGTTGTGTGTAATTTCTTTTATTAAATCAAATAAAGATATATATATATATATATATATATATATATATATATTAAAAAAGAGCATGGACCATTGTTTCCAGATCAGGCTTCTTAAAGAAGAGCAAAAGAAAAAAKCCTTTTGTATCTGACTTGTCCAGAAAAGCCGCAGGACTTGAAGAAAAGCGACTCCAACAAAACAGGACAAAAACTGCCTAGGAACAAGGGGGTTGCCATTGGCCACGCAGTTTGACGGCAGCAGCCAATGACGTGGCAATGCCGCGCCGCTATTGGCTGATGCCGAGTAGCGGGGCGGGGCTTCGCGGGCTCTGAGTTGCCTCAACACCTGGGTGCTCCATTCCCAAAGCAGCAGCGGCGGCGGGGAGAAGAGGGGAAGGAGAGGGGGCGTGGCTTCTCCCCTGCGGTCACGTGACGCCAGTGTTTACATCCTCTCAGCTGTTGAGCTTTTAGCCCCGCCCCTTCGCTCCCCTCCTCCTCCTCCTCGCCTTCCTTCCTTCAACGTCTCTCGCACAGYCACAAACAGTCGCATCCAGCCATAGCGTGGAAAGGGGGGGCTTGAGGAGGAGGAAGAGAGAGGGGGAAAAGCCCTAACAACCCTCATTCCCCCGCCAATTAGTCTGAAAAGAAGCCCCCCCCTCTTTCGCCTTTTTCTTGTTTTTGTCCCATTTCACTTTCCCTCACTTCGCCTTCGGAAAAAGCCCTTGGAAGGACGGTAAGTTGAGGGCCTCGGGTCAGAAAAGCCGTTGCTACAGAAGGAAGGAAACCCTTTCGCGCGAGAAAGGGGAACAACAGTCGGGGGGGAGGGGTCGCGAGGGGGCTACTCATGACGTCATCACCGCGGCCCTGCTCCAGCTCAAGGCCAGTCTGGTCGCCATTGATGACGTTGTTATTGTTATCGTTTAGTTACATGGCGCCGTCGTTGCCCAAGGCAAAGGACATCAGAGCTGTTCTATCCCTTCAGGGTTACCATCTGAAAGAGGGTGGTGGGCGATGAAGTCCATTGTGAGCGCTTCACAGGCCCTTCGAGAAGCCTGATGTGTTTGGTTATGCCTGACGTTTCCTTGGGAGGCTTTTCTCCCCTCTCTGCTTCGAAGTCTCGTGATGTTTACACACGTCTTAACCTGGGGCCTCTGAAAGGGGAGCGGGGAGGAGAGTGTGGAGGAATTGGGGCGCATCCTCGAAGGGCGCAAGTTGAGTTCTGCGCCAACGACAGCTCTAGAGTACGTCGACACTGCAGAATTAATGCACTTTTCACTGCCCTGCCTCCATGGTATGGACTCCTGGGATTTGTAGTTTGCTGAGTCGCCAGTACTCTTTGCCAGAGGAGGCTGAAGGCCTTGTGAAGTCACAACTTCCAGGATTCCATAGCACTGAATGGAATAGTGTCAAACTGCATTGATTCTACAGTGTAGATCAGGGAAACTTCGGCCCTTTCTCTGCCATCATAGAATCATAGAGTTGGAAGAGACCTCATGGGCCATCCAGTCCAATCTCCTGCCACCCACCCATCCCTAAAGACCCTGCACAACACAGCATCTACACCAGGCATGGGCAAACTTTAGCCCTCCAGGTGTTTTGGACTTCAACTCCCACAACAGCCTCAGGCCCTTTTCTTTTCCCCCTTGACCGAAAAAGGAAGAGGCCTGAGGCTGTTAGGAATTGTGGGAGTTGAAGTCCAAAACACCTGGAGGGCTGAAGTTTGCCCATGCTTGGTGTAGATGCTGTGTTGTGCAGGGTCTTTGGGGATGGGTGGGTGGCAGGGGGTTGGACTGGATGGCCCATGAGGACTCTTCCAACTCTATGATTCTATGAAAGCAGAGCAAGGGCTATGTTTTGTTGTTGTTGTTAAGGGGGAATGGGGAGTACATGTTCTTCTGCTTTCAACCTCCTCCCCCTTAGTCCTGCGATTCGCTATAAAGGGATAAACAAGTTGGCGGAGTTGACGCCGACGCTGCCCGTCTGTTTTGCTCTGTTTTTTTAGCCGCCCCTTGAGGAGGTGCCAAAGAGGAAGATCCCTTCGAGCCACGCAGCAACAATAGAGAAGGGAGAGGGAATGAATCTTGCCCATCAAAAGGGATGCATTTGCACTGTAGAACTAATGCAGCTGGACACGACTTTACTTGCCACAACAATCGAAGTGGTGTAAAACTGCATTGAGTCTTCAGTGTAGATTGTACCCAAGTTTATGCAGAGAAGAAAAGAGAGATGCATGCATCACTTTATTTTGGTCTCCCTGTGCAAATCTTGCTTTCACAGCTTGCTGTCTCTTACCCTTGCCCCATCCAGTCCTCCACAACCCCAATCCAGGTCACTTTGGGCCTTAGTGCCTCTGGCAAATGGAGCCATGACGAAATTTATCACCCCCTCCTCTCGCTTGATTTCTTCTCTCTTGTAGGCTTTGACGCTGACCTGCTAGTTGTGACACCAGCATGGCTCCTCCTCCTCCTTTCAAGAGCGTGTCACATTCTTCTTCTGTTTACACTGAAGGCTCTCTGCATTGATCACTGACTGCAGAAGAGCCACTTGCTGTTTTGTTGTTGCTTTCGCTGTTTTGGTTAGTTAGGAAAGTGTGCACAAAGGCATTTGTGTCAGTGGCTCGTATCACATTGGGCCAGCAAATGTTGCATTTTTATATAAATTCAGAAAGCATTAGTGTCTGGGTTCTATGGGTTCTTCATTACAAATGACAAAGAATAGGGCACCTAGTGGTGTTTATTGACTTTAAGGGACAGTAAACAAATAAGAGTGAAGAGAATAATGTATTTGTCTGTCAAAGCCTGCCCCCTTTCCCCTCCTTTTCATTTTGCTTTCTGCTGACTCTGGCCTCTTTTTTGTTTTGTTTTTGAAACATTTGCCCATGTCCTCTTTGGGGGGAGGAATAGATTGGTACACAATCATTTGGCAGAATTAAATAGAAACTTCCATCACTTTTAAGGGCAAAACTAACTTCACATGTATTTCAGTGCCATCTAAGGTAAACTCAACAGAGATACAAACACATTTTTCCACCCTCATTCTTGATATACCCTTTTAAATAAACTCGGTATCCATGGGTTTTATTTACCCATACTCTCAAAATTATTTCCCCAGAAAGTGTTTGTGGGACTTTCTATGTCCACTCCTGAGATTCTAGCTGTGGTTCGCACCCAACTATAATTAAAATATGGGGCCCACTTTTATCTGTTGTTTTAGGTAACTAGTTTAAAACTCTCCTGAACAAGTTTATGAGCCTATTAGCAAAAACATTCCTGCCTGTTGTTGTGAAGTGCAACCAATCATCTTCATGAAGCTGTAGCTCATGATTCAAGAAGCCAAATCTTTCCCAGCACCATCCTTTAATCTGTAGTACTTACAACATTAGTGCAGTCTGGGAGTACAAGGCATCGCTTCAATGTGATGTCATGGCCTTTGTACAACAGAGCAAGACTCTTTTGCTCCTCAAATTTTAGTCTCTATTTTCTTTGTAGTACTAAATATATCGGTTTTCTTAACTTCTGTATTTCTTTCTCGGGAACCAGACTAACATCTGAAAAAAAGACAAGAGTCTTGTTTCAATGTGTGCATTTTATGATGTTTCTAAAGTTAATTTTTTGAAGGGTAATGAATTGACCTTGATTATTTTTAAAAATCATAAATGTGGGTTTTGACATTATGTTCATGTATAATAGTGTATGAATCTATTAAACATTGAGAAGTAATTATAATACTTTCTCTTACCAGCACATATAGTTGGAAATAAGTGTCCCAAAACTCAATAAGATACGTATTTCTGGGATTGGACTGGATCTGATGTAGTACTGTTGAATTTTTCATTGCTACAGTGTATTGATAAATTATGAAATGCCCTACAACACTTTAATTTCAGGGGGAGATCTTGTCCTGTGAACATAAAAATATCTTCCAGATAATAGTGATGTTTTTATTCTCTCTCTTCTCTCCCCCCCCCCCCATTTTTAGTTTCATTTATTTTCCCAGTTTGTTAAAATTGAGGTTTATTTAAATCCTTTGGTTTTAGTCATATGGTTGTTGTTTTTGAACTACCTTAAGTCTCACTTTAACTCCATGACAGTGTATAGGATTGCACCTGTGTTTATTTTGTTTATTTTTATATTATAAAATAGAGTAAATTAACCTAGTTTTTAGAAGTTTTGTATACACTTTATCTTTTCTAAAATCAGCTACAGAAAGTCTCTAGATTCGTCATACCTTGTTGAAATACAAATGTTTTAATTGGCATACATCCACTCATGAATTTTATTATGCTACATTGTCAATACCTGCATTTTCTGTAAATAGGTATAGAAAATTTTATATGCTTTAAAAGCCGTAATTCTTTCACATTCATAGAAAGTGACCAAGAGCAGCAGAAGCAGTTCCTTGGACTTGGTATAGAAATAAATGTTTGTCAGGGAAGACATCATCGAAAGGGATGTTATGTGTTTATGGGAACTCCTGGATGTTCCCGTAAGCAATCTGGTTGCCATATTTTGAACCAGTTGGAGTTTCTGAACTTGGTACATCCCATTGTAAAGCGCATTGCAGAAGTCCATCATTTAGGTTACCAGAGCATGCACTGCCATCTTTAGGCCCTTCAAATCTGAGGAGCACAGCTGGCATATCAGCCAACGCTGGTAGTAAGCACTCATGACCATTGCATCTACCTGGGCTGACATGTGGAGAGAGGGACCCAGGAACACTCCCAATCTGCGGACGCAGTCTTTCAGGGAGAGTGCAATCCCATCCAGAACTGGGTGACACACCTTCTCCCCCAGATTAGGACCCTTGATGGCAAGCACCTCTGGTTTGTCTGGATTCAGTTTCAATTTGTTTTTTCTCATCCAGCCCATTACCTCCTCCAGGCATTTGTTTAGAGGAGATACCCTTTCCCTAGCTGAGGCTATTTTTGAAGGTATGGAGAAATATATTTGGGTGCCATCACCATAATGGTAACAATCCACCACATGCCTACAGATCTCTCCCAGTGGTTTCATGTAAATATCAAAAAGCATTGGGAATAGAATTGACACATAACAGCTCCTTTTTTGAGGAGCAGCTATCCCCAAGCGCCACAATCTGAAACCTGCCTGAGAAGTATAACCAGAACCACTGCAACACAGTGCCTCAGTTTCCCAGCCCCTCCAGGCGTTCCAGAAAGATATCATGGTTGGTGGTATCTAAAGCCACTGAGAGGTCTAGAAGCACTAATGGACATACTCTCCTGTTGGTGTTGAAGCAGAGATTATTCACTAAGGCATCCATTGCAGTTTCAACACCATATCCTAATCTGGAACCAGTTTGAAAGGGATCAAGGAAGTGTGTGTCATCCAAGACTGCCTGGAGTTGGAAGGCAACAGCCTTCTCAATCATCTTGCCCCCAAAAAGGTTAGATACTGGCCTGTAATTATTAAGGTCCAGGGGATCCTGGGAGGGCTTTTCAGCAGTTACTGCTTTTTAAAAATAGGATGGAAAGTCCCCTCCCTCCCCCCGAAAGAGGCATTAATAGATTATTGTATTTGAGATCGAATTGCATCTTCTTTCTGGACAACCAACCAAGAGGGACAGAGATCAAGAAAGCAGGTTGTTGTCCTTACTAGCCCCGGCAGCATGTCCACATCAGCAGTACTGACCAATTGAAACTGATTCAGTGTAATCCTACTCAAAGTAGCTGGACAACTTGTTGTTGACCTCTACTCCAATGTCTGTCTTAAGTTAACTCTTATGCAAGAGATTTTATCTGCAAAATGGTTGTTAAAAGTATCACAGTGAACTACTGGGTTCTAGCAATGTGTTTGGAGGGGAAGGCACCTGAGTGGAATCTTTTACCACTCTGAACAGCTCAGCTGGACATGAATTGGCAGACACAATGCGTGCAGAGAAGAAAGTTTTCTTTGCTGCATGTATTGCCACCTTATAGGAGTAAAGGTGCCCTCTGTACCATGTCTTGTCGCATAAAAGTTGAGTTTTCCACCATCTGCGCTCTAGTCATTGTCTTTCCTAATTCATTTCCCTGAAATACCAGGGAGCTTGATTTGTAACAGGTCAGAGAGAACATTTGGGAGTGATCATGTCAATAGCCCTGGCAAGACTGGATTTCATTTGCTGACCAGGGATTCAACAGGATTGTTGGAGAAGCCAACCATAGAACTCCCTAAGGCCTCCTGGAATCTCAAAGGATCTATTAACCTTTGAGTGCAGACCATTTTAATAGGTCCTCCATCCCCATAGGGGGTAGGTTGTAGCCGCGATACTAGTCCTGACCAAAAAATGATAGTTCATGACAACTCAGAGGTATTGGTCACCTCCGCTGACAGATCCATATGTACAGAGATGAAAATCATATCAAGGGTATGACATGCTGAGTGTGTCAGTCCAGAAACCAATTGGGATAGGTCCATGTTTGTCAAAGATACCATGAATTCCCAAGCTGTATCTGACAAACTGGTGTCCAATGGTATGTTGAAGTAACCCAGAAACAAAACTAAAAACAAGAAAAAACTTTAATAAATAAATAGAATGAGAAGCCAACTGACTCTAACAAAGTGGTTAATGAACTTCTCCATACCCTAGCTGCATTTTGGAAAGATATTAACTGATTAGTGCAAAGTAGCACATGTACTGGTGTACTTTTAATAGCAAACCGGACAGTCCTGATCTATATTCTATGGTTTGTGTCAGTTGCGTTTTTAGTATTGGATCTTTCATGTTTAGTGTCTGCTTTTTTTTGTCTTTTTTTTTGTTCTTGTTTTTCACTTTTGATGTTAAATGTGACATTCTGAGCCGAAAGCAACATTTGAGCTTTAGGAACTGTTGCCAAGGCTTTGAATGGCAAAACACTGACACTTGAGAGTTTGGCTTCCATTTTGTCAGGTTGTAATGTTTTATATGAGCCAGTTCTTAATGTGCTTTTCAGGACAAGATTCTTCTGTAATAAAGAGGAATCATTTCTACCATTTCTCATCAGATAAAATATGTAATCTATTCATATAAAACTATAGTCTCTTCTATCTCTGTGGCTGAATATTTTGTGGAACCTTTCTGGTTCTGTTGAAAATGTACCTATTTCTCATATTGTATAGTGGTTGAATTGTCAGGAATCACATTGAGTATATATTCATAAGGGCTGATAAATTCACTTTTGTGACTGATATTGGTGTTGCTTCATTGAGCTTACACTGGTTCGATTACTTGGAATTTTAAGCTCTTCAAGTAGTTTTTAAAATCAAAAAGGCAATACAGCCATTCTGAAGGATCTTGCAGCTCTGTTGCCATTCACAATTGTTGCTGTGTTTCTGCTTATCCCACACAAAACAGGTTCCAATACTGAAAAATGTATAGATTAGAAACATACATTTAAAACATATCAGTAAAGAAAATGCATCAATTAACTTTTATTAACTTTTTCCCTCAGCAATTGATCAGTTACCAAAA